TAAGAAAACCAAACACAGCTTATGCCCCAGTGATGCTATTAGGATCCACTTTGTGAACTTCCAGTTTGTTCAAGAATTCTGCATGAACAATCAAAACACCCTAACACATAAAAGACTGACTCCGGAGACTGCCCTGACAACATTTTGAATAACTTTTAATTTTTTATTAATCTCAGTTCAATTCCTTTTTAACCTCACATCATGTATGGTTTTCTTGCTTTGTTCCTAAGTAGCTCCCACACTGTAATCTATGGCTCTCTTTCAACTACTTTCCTCTATCAAATGGTCCCCTCTCATCTTTGTTTCTATAGAGCAAGTAACATTTCTGCTTTCTGAAGTCCGTCCCTTTCTAGACTCCTTTCCTCTATCATTCATGGTCTTCAACTTCTAAGTGACACACCACTGTAACACATTTTAGAGGGCATCCGATGATTTATGAGTCTGACTTGCTTAGATTTCAGAGCTGCTAATTTAGTTTATGATCCTTAAATTCAGCCAAGTGTCTAGATGACAAAGTATGAATAAAGAAATAAAGGCTATGTACTCCAGTTTTTAACCGTAGGGGAGCATGTGTTAGGCCTTGTAATTAGAAAGTTTATTTACTTTTGATTGTTGAATAAAATTTAATTGACTTCCCATCTTGTAAAGCCGCATCTTTCTGTACATGACACACTTTTCCAGTCACACATTTTAGCATAGATACACTAAAAGAAAAAGAGACTTCTCAGTGAAGTTTAATGTTTTTTTTTAAGTGTCAATATTCTACATGCATGAGTATCTCGAGATTTTAATTTCTTTTCACTTCAGGAATGTTGTGGTGTATAAACAGTTTACAAAGCTGATCTCAAAAAAACAATGACTTAAATAATCTGTGCTTTAATGAAAAACAAATATTAATATGCTTGGTTTCTCATATAACATGTTTATTAAACATTTTAGCGTCAATCATTTATTAAGATTGTAACACTTAACCTTGAAATGGAGCTAATAATGATCCTATTTGTGGTTATATATTTTAGCTTTTTAATTGACCTTGAGTAAAATGAATGCTACTGTCATTAAATTGTGCTTGGAGCAAAGACAAAAAACAAACAAACAAACAAAAAAACAAAAAAAAACCCAAAAAAAGCAGCTCATTGTTTCCAGCTAGTAAAGATGCAATGTTAATTATACTATTTTAATGCTGTTATAATATTAAGTATTCTCTTTTTTCCTTTTGTCTGTCATTGAAGCTCAATATATCATTCCTGAATATTAGCAATTTTCACTCAATTTTGATTTAAATATTGGTTTTAAATATGGTCTCCAAAATGTCCTGATAAAGATCAATATTTCACTTCCTTTGCCAACCCCTCAACCAGCTTTCAAATCTCAGATTGAGATTTCTATTGGGGATTATAGCTTTCTAGGAAATATTTTAGACATTATCGGTGCATCAGAGAGGATTAAGAATCACCAACGTTCTGAAGGCATATGTGCTTTGGTATTGTTCCCACCCGTTTTTTTATTATAAAGTGGCAATTTGTACTATCATTAGAAATATACATTTATATATAAAGTTTTGCATTCAAATCTCTTTATTTTTGACTACCTAATGAAAGACCACAGATCAAATAAAAACTTTATATAATATATCCTCATTTCAGAAGCATATGTATATATACACATATATATTTGTAGAACAATCCACAGTTTTAAATGTGATTCTGGCTTAAAAAATGCTATTTACAGTCTATGACAGAGTAGTAGCCTCAGCCTTCAATGGCATTAAAATGAGCAGGGAATTTTTAAGATTGACTGTGTCTCATCTTGTGCAGAAGAAATCAAGCAATTTCATGGAAAACCTTTTCAAAAGCAAGGCCTTGTACACTAAGCCCCAGGCCATAAGGGTAGATTTCCTCTTTCTGGGTCTATGTTTTAAAACATAAATCATTGTTGAAGTAGTCTAAGAAACCAGGGGTTCCAGATTGGACCTGAAGACAATTTAATACACAACAACCATGTTACACTCTATCCCTTCTTCCTGTTCCAATACTTTCAACACTTCTTTGTGGCATGACAGAATCACCAGTTGAGAAACAATACCTAGAAGCAGTATTGCCATTTTCTTAGGTAGAAGAGTTATTCTGTATAAATGAGACCCATAAAGAATCACATTATATTACATAGGCAGATGTCTATTCACTGTGTCAATCCATAATGGCTAAAAATGTCTTATGAACTTCATATATGTAATTCAAAACCAAGACTATCACTATTATGAAGAAAAGGATGGTTTACTGTGTTCAGTCTCCTGAAGCACAAGGACTCTAAGTTAGCAGATGGAACTTCAGCACCATTTGTTTCTAGACCTCAAACATCTAGCAAAAATATCAAGTAAAGAATATTGACTACATTTTGTAAGACTCACAGAAGTTGTGTTTTCATTATCAAGACCATTCAGTTAAAACAGAGGGGCTCCTATAGTTCTCTACTTGAGTCCTTTCCTGGGAATATCCCCTTGCATTGTTTTGGAAACAATGAAAAGCAAACTCTTATTACAATGAAAGAAGAACATGTGATAGATGAGTTGAAGCCAGGAATTAAAGACTATCACAATGAAGACTTACACTTAGCTATAAAGCTGAAAAACAACCATCACAACTGGCTCATGTTTTTAAGTGAAACTGGATAGCTATTTGCTTATATTTCTTCATGTATTTTAAGACTTAAGAGTGAATATTGGTTCTATTTATGCTTTTAATGTACTTAAAAAGCAACCAGAGAGTAAATAAACATTCACCCTGTGATCTAACCCATTTTTCCAGGTTTATGAATAAAACGATTGTGAGGCTTTCAATTTGTTCTTGAAATTAGTTGTAAATGTAGCAAAGTTAATCTCCAAAACACATTTACATTTTCTAAACACAATGTGGAGAGAAAACTAAAGACAAATTGAGTGGCAAGAAAGCTCCTTTTTAACTACTGACAGGATGTGGGAAGGTTTGTCTGTATGATGAATGATTAAAAACCACTAAAAAATAGAGAAGGGATTTTATTAGATATTAATATCAGATTATATTTTCATAAATAACGAGATTAGACTTCTATCATGAAATCATCAATGAGATGGGCAACTTTGATTTCCACCAATTGCATTTCCTGTGGACTCTCAGCTGCTCTATAGTTGAATAAACATATCAACTTCAATCCTCCAGGCTCTTTCCTCTAAAAAAGCCCATGACCCATATTTTTGAAGCCTCTTTATTCATTTTTTTCCAAAGAAAATAAGGCTTTGTGCTTGGGATTTATTTGGTCCTGAAAGTGACAGGTATATTTATAATCAAGTTGGATCAACAGTGACAATGAATACAACTTCTGGATTTGTGTCTTTTCATGGTTATTCTTTTCCTAAGAGAGCAATATTCCTTATATAAAAAATTAAATTTATCTGTTACTTTCTGTAAATTCTGATTTAAAATGGTCCAAAAGCCTTGCCTTTGTGCATAACTGCTATTCTTCCTACGTTTATAGGAAAATTCCTCCAGTACATTTTCTGCCATTGTCCAGAGAACACAATAGGATACTTGATAGGACAAAAATCACACTGAAGAATAATGACTGTGTAGAGGGGAGACACCACATTGACCTTGAAATACAGCAACCAGTGGAAAGGTTCAAGGTGAGGGCCTAGATCTCCTTCAGAGTATGTATTTTAGGGAGTCATAGTTGGAGTAATACATGCTGGGCAGTAGAGATATAGGAGAAGTTACATGCTAAGTCTTCTCATTATGATATCCATAAATCTGCAAACATTTTTAACATTCTGGTTTGGTTTGTTTTAATTTGGATGTCTCTACACCATTCATGATTTCCAGGCCTAAGTAGATCTACTGATTCCAACGCCATGGTATAACTTCATGTCTTTGCTAATGTTTTCTAGTACTTCAGTATTCCTAACAGTGTGTTTTCTTGCTCTTACATGGAGTTCTTTTTCAGTACACAAATCCACCAACAAAACCCTTTATATTGGAATCAAAGCTGTTAATTCCACATTTTTTCTCACTGCCCCTTGAAAATTCCATGTTTAATTGGTTACCTTCTGTTTTGTAGAATACAGAATTATTGCAAACTAGATTTATGACTGTGGAAAATACTAACAAGCTACTGGCTTCATAGATAAAGTTAGGAATTTCATTATCATTCCTCCAATATCTCATAGTTTGGAAAACAGTCTATACACAAAACTGGCAATGTAAAAATGTGATTGAAATTTGCTTTGACTCTGAATCTCAGACTTATTTTCTTCAGTAAAACCCACCTTCCATCTTCCCTGCTGCAATATATGGTAAAAAAGGAAAAAGAACAACTTCCTATGACAGATATGCACATTCACACTCAGAGGTACCCAACAAATCAACACTGAGACTGAATGGAAAAAGCAAGAAGTCCATGCTTCTTCACCAGACACAGCAATGGAAGGGGTTCTGTATGTCTCCTCAAAATAACAATAAAACCCATTTCACTAAATGTCTAAAAAAATAATGAAATCCCAAATCAATTCCTAAATAAAAAATAAGATATTCTTTTAGGAGAAACTCTACAAAGGATTAAATCGGCTAATATGATTAAGTTCAACGTAAGATTTTCATTTTCTAAAATAAAATATATTATCAACATCAAGAATAATATTTAAAACTTTTCTTCATGCTAAATGGACCCTGGCTATATGACTGATAGACATTAGAAGAATATAATTTTGACACGTTCAATTTTAAAATTGAAAGACTGTCTTGGAAACAGGATATAGTTGTGCATCATTTACAGAAATCTAAAGAAAATACAAAGATGAAACAAAACTGCACATCACATAATTCTCTAGAACTTAAAGGGATTTACAGTTCAACATTTTTAAGTGGCTTTCTCAAGACCTTTTCCATCCATTCAATGACTGCAATCTGTCTGCATTATAGTTGAATCTTCATTGTAATTAGCCCTCTGTTAATAACAACACAGTTAAATTTAATGTTTGTGGAGTCCTGATTTATTTTTCTTTGCTTTTATGTGCGATAATTGTTATGCATGTGAATTTTCTACCACATTGCAACAGGCAAGCTTTGGTTCAATTTTCTTGTCCTACACAAAGGAAGATTTTGAGTGCAGAATCTCAGCTACTAAGTCCTGTGATGCTGTTTTATTTTTTTCTCTTGTTGGGATGGATTTATTGGAGAAAATGGGGAAAGGGGAGAGAGGAGAAAGGAGAGGGTAGAGATGAAAGAACAGGAGGGGTTCTCAGCTATGTAGAGTCTTGATTCACGACTTTGCCTCCATTCATGGTGGGTGTTCCCGAACTTTTCCTCGAACGTCCTTGCTTTTCTCCAATTTCATGTAGTGACGGTTCTCTGTACATACACACTGGAAAGCAAAATTACAAAAAAAAAATTACTCTTGATAATCAACATAGACCTGGCTTCAATGAACTTCTCTAGTTTGATTTTAGAATATTAGGAATATTTAGAATTTTCAGAGCATTATTCATCAGAAGTGATGTCTGAGTTAGGATAGAAGTAGAAACATACCAATATATCTGCTTAATAGGCTTTGACTTCCTTCACCTAAACTAAGGCTCAGAGTCCATGTGCCATTAGCCATTCTCCAATAGGGAGTGTGGTAATTTAACATAAGATTAAGTTCACATCCTCTCTTCTCTGTCTGGCTCCAAGGTTGTGATCTGAGAACTATCATGGCTTTTGCTCAATTATCACTTAGGATGAGTAGGGTTTTCCAGTTCATAGCTATTTTTACAAAATAAATCACTACAGTGAGTCTTTTGGCCTCAGTGGGCTGTTCTGATAGAGACAAATGTGTCTATCTATATAGGCACATTTTACTTATGTATCAGGAATTGCTTTCCTTCTTGAAATAAGAAAAAATAAATATCTGTATCTATTTTACCTATCATCACCACAATGGTTGATGAATTTGAATACTGTTTCCAAAATCAGATAGTTTCCTCTGCTGGGTATGACTTGGGAATACTACATCTTCAGGAGCTTGACTATTTGGTCAAGTCAGACACACTTTTATGACCGAAAAATGACATCTTTATCAGCATGAATAGATAGAAAACATCCAAAATGATCAAGAAAAACAAAAAAATAACACCATTCATTAAGATTTTAGACAGTATGTTTTGAGAATGCCATATAAATTCTTCTGGTCTAAGCCATTCCACTGCTTCCAAAACACAGACTAAAAATACAAGCATGGTTCTGAACACTAGTTCAGAGAAGAGACAGGTTTTTTTCCCCAGTATGTTTAGTAGTGTCTAGTACTGTGCAGTTATACTAAGTATGGGTATTGTTACTATGTGACTTAGGAGTCATTAGTTCTGTGGTAAGTTTGGTATTCTTTACTTTTCTATTACTAAGCTGCCAGGTAATGCTGATGAAATACAATACACATTCTCTGAGTAATACAGAATATAGCTATGAAAGATGCTTTTTCAATGTCTTTTACAAGAGTAACAAACATCAAATTTTGAATGACATGTTTAAACATTTCAGTTACTTCCATCAATAATCATAATATCTCTAAGTGCCTTTGGCTGAAGTGGGAAAGCACAACTTATAGGTAAGCTATGAACTAATAGCTCTTGAGTATTTGGAGTTGATTCTGATGCTCTCAAATGGTTTACATAGGTAATTCAAATTCCTATCTTTAATAACAACAACAAAAGGAATCCTAGAAAAATTTTTATAGTATAGCCTAGAAGATTGTTGAAGTCCCTCAAGTGCACTAGCTCTTTATTGTATTTATGTTATGAGGAAAGTAGAGCAGGTTCCAAATCTCGAAGGTGAAGGCAAATTTTTACTTATGCATAATATATCCACTTACCTATAACTGGCTAATGCACAAGGCAACTCAAAGGTAATGAAGTGATTCCATTGGAAAGGAATCCACAGGCTGCCACGAAGTAGTTTTCTAAACTCTACCACCTAATCGGCTGTGAAAACCTACAGTTTCCAGGCTCCAGCACAGATCATTTAAACCATCATTTCAATGGATAAAAAGAACCTTTCTGTTTAAATACCCAGGGAAAAATGTTGGGCAAAAGATTACTTCAACATCATGTTAGTTGAAGTGTATGATACTGCTTGATAACCACTAAATAATGTATTTGAATAGTCGAGTTTCCTAAAATTGCAACATCTCCTCTGTTCTCATTTTATAGATTCTGCCCATTGTACATTTGGACTTTTATTTTATGTATTTACTATTTGTCACAAATACATAAATTACTTCAAGTATAAACACACAAATATTAGCACTAAAATTAGTGCTGCAGGCAAATTTTCCAATAATTGAAAACCCCACTAGCCATCCCTGAAGTGGAATCTGTAAAGAAATTTCCAAACTAACCTCAGGAATTTTAGTTTATCAAAGTAAAACTCAATAATGCCACAACAGAAGATGTAGTTTTTCTTTTAGGGTAATTCAGTAATTATCCTCATTACACCCCATTAAATTGAATAATAAAATTCAGGGTTTTAATAAACTAAATGGTTAACAGCTATGTTTTCCATTTCACTGAGAGAAACTGCCTCTCCTCCACCCAATGAATGAAATAGGTATTTCATTCTCTACATTGCTGTTTACAAAGTGGATTTGGAAACTCAGGTAATTCTAGGAGTTGCACAAAAATACAGAAATGGGAATGAGCAAGACAGGGATGTAAAGAGGAAGGATGGAGGGAAAGAGAAAAGGAGACCAAGAGAAAGAGAGAGGGCACTGTTGAACCAATTACTTCATCATTATCATTTATAATTCCTGGGATTCAGCAAAACATCTAACTTTAGACCGTAACAAGTAAAGTGCTATAGCTCTCAATAGAACTTTAGAACTAAATGTACTTTGCAGAACACACCTGAATTCAGTTACTATGTAAGACAAGGACAGGCAAAGGACGAGCACTCTTTAGTGTGGTAACCACCACTTCCAATAGTTGGAATAACTTTCTTTGAGCCAAGTTCTGAATACTTCAAAACAAATGATGGAGCAAAATTGAAGAAGTGACAAAGCACAAGGTGTCTGACAAATATATTGTAAATCAAAATGTAAACTGTTAATCCCACAACTAACTGTCATTTTGAGGTATTCAAAGCCACTTTAAATTGATTGTGTCATTTACTCATTAGAATAACTATGTGTTCATCATAGGTAAATTATTACCTTTACTTTTTAAACATCAAGGGAAGTTAATGACTTCCCTAATATCAAGGGGTGAGCAGTGGCAGAACCAGGATGAGAATATCTAGTCAGGGGTTCTGATCTAAACAAGCTTCTACAGACTAACTGATACTAGACAATGTTTACACTATTATGGTTGCATATTAACTAATACAGAAGTTGGCCTTACTTTTACTAAATATTGCTACTGTCATCAAGAAATGGTTTTGAAAATGGATGTGGCATGGATATGTTAAAAAGAAGAAGTTGAAACCAACAAAGCTGGCAGGTATGTGGAGCTATTGGAACCCTTAAGTATTGTTGCTCACAATTTAAGGTGGTACAGCCATGGTGAGAAATGACTATTGTTAAGATAATTACACATGGAATTGCCAAAGGATCCAACCACTATATTCTGTAGATGTAGACCAGAAAAAGAAAGAAAGAAAAGACAAAGGCCTTGAACAAAAATTTTTCACACCCATGATTATAGCCACATTATTTATAATAGTCAAAAGGTGAAGTAAAGTACCCATTTATAGAACAATAGATTAATATAATGTTTATATATTCAACATATATATATATTAAATTTTATTTAGTTTTTGAAAGAAAAAATTATTGATACATGCCGCAGCATGGATATACCTTGAAGAAATGGCAGTAAGCCATCCAAATCAGCTCCTAAGGGCCAAATACTGAATGGATCACTATGAGAAAGTTAGGATAATGGTAAGCATGAAGACAAAGTAGTATTGTTGTGAGGACCCTGGAGCACAGCAGATGGAGTTAAGTCTTAAAAGGTGTAGAGATTCAGTTTTGTAGCATGAAAGCAGTTATGGGAGGGTTGCTGGGAATGGCTTATAAGCACTGGATAAACATAACTGCACTGAAATGTACACTTAAAATGATTGAAATGTTGAATTCTATTTTCATATGTTCTCACAATTAAAAACACCCTAATTTCCCTGAGTATAAATAATAAATAAAGAACTAACTATCTGGGTTGGGGAGATGGCTCAGCAATTAGGAATACTTAGCTGTTCTTTGCATAGGATCCAGGTTCATGTCTCAGCACCACACAGTGGTTCAGAACCATCTGTAACCACCCCCCACCCCAGTTCCAGTGAATCTGACACTGTCATTTGGCCTTCAGCCATAAGGCATGCACGTAGTACACGCACCTACATACAGGCAAACCACTCAAACATGTTAAATAAAGTAAATAAATGTTTTCTTTTAAAAGAACTATTCAATCCAGAGCTCTCCTATTAGCATATGGATAATCAGCCTCCTCCCAGTAATCAGAAATGTCTCAGTACTGAAACTAACGTGTGGAGAATGGAGATATGGCTAAGAGATACAGGCTTGGGAAGAGGATTCAAGGATTCAGTGAAAAATTCTAGAACTGTGTTTAGCTCCATGATGCTATGAGCATTTAAAATATGAACATCCTGCCAGGCGGCGGTGGCATATGCGTTTAATCCCAGCACTTGGAAGGCAGAGGCTGGTGGATCTCTGTGAGTTCTAGGCCAGCCTGGTCTTCAAGAGCTGGTTCCAGGACAGCCTCCAAAGCCACAGAGAAACCCTGTCTCAAAAAACAAAAACAAAACAAAATTTAAAGTAAAACACAAACATCCCTACTTTGATGTACTATGAAGGTAAACATAAATACAGGATGGAACAATATAAGGAGGTGATGAGGGAGAAGTGGTCCAGAGCTAGTCTCAGACCTCATTAAATTCCATCCCTACAACTGGAAACCATGATTGCTGTACGTCAGTGCACACCAGTCTAAATTGATAGTAAATGAAGAGTAAATAATATGTCCACCCAGAAAATAACAAGTTTCTGGGGGGGGAATCTAATAATTCAATCATTATTATCAAAAATATTTACCTGACATGAACTCAGCCAGCCCATGTAGAAGAGAAAACTCAGCCAAACTGAATCTCACAGTGTGACTCTCACAAGAAACACATTTGAAAAGGTTTATAAATTGTTTAGTTCCTTGCAAATACAGTCTCAGCTTCACAGAAGCTGGTCTAGCTCAAGATTCATTATGCATCTGAGATTTACTGTGTACATTCCAAGTACCAATTGTGGCTGCAATTGCAATGCGTTTTTCACTTGATCAGGCTACTTACCACATGTTTTGTCTAGAAGGAGCTTAATTTAGACCTTAA